AAAAAAAAAAAAAAAAATTTTTTTTTATTGTATTTTTTATTATAGAACTCAGTAATAGGCTTTCAGCCTCAATCATTTTATAATTTTTAATTATGCAACTCAATCAACTTTTATTTTGCAAGCCTAATTTCAGGCTTGCCAACATAATAAAAAAAAAAAAAACAATTTTTTTTTTTTTTTTAAACGAGCCCAAACGAAAAATTACAAGAAAAAAAAAATTTAAATTTTTTTAAAAAATATTTTTATCGACGTTTTTTGATTTTTTTTTTTTTTTTAGGTAAATAAAAAAAATTTTCTTTTAATTTTTTCGTCTGCTCTTGAGTTAAATTTTATGTGAGTAGTGTTAGTAGTAGTAATAATAATAATAATAATAATTTATTATTTAAGTATGAAAACAATACGAAAAATATTTTTAAAAAATTTATTACGTTGTAATAATAATCGTATTTGATATCTCTCTCTCTCTCTCACATGTTTGTTTGTTTGTGTTTCGTTATGTTTTTTTTTTTGTGTTTTAATGATAATAATAATAACCGGAAAAGGATACGAATAAAAAGGTTTGCCGGAATGAATAGAAAAAAACATTAAGTTAAGTCGATTTATTATTTCGAATTTAATTTATTCTCGAAACGTTGAAAAAAAAAAAAAATTCGCAAATGAATTATTTTCATTCGTGACCCCCTTTCGCGATGACTATTTTTTTACTTTATAGTCTTATTATTAATGCAATGTTATTATCATTATCATCATCATCATCATCATCATCATCGTAACCGTTGTTGTTATTATTATTATTATTCAAATGATTTATTAAAATTAAAAATGAAACGTTGAAAAAAAAATGACACGAACTATATTTATTATTATTATTTAGTGTTTAAATTGAAAAAAAAAGAAGCAAAAAAGGGCAAGTTTGTGGTTGTTGTTGTTGTTTGCGTTTGTTTGTGTTTGTTGAACGTCGTGAATGAGAATTTTTTTATTTTCCTTTTTTTGTTTGTTTTTTTTTTTTTTTTTGTTATTGTTTTCTGCGAGTGATAATGTTTTGATAATATTTTGTTGGGAGTGATTATATGAAGTTTTCGACACTAGAAAAAAAAAAAACAATCAATCAATCAATAATAATAATAATAATGATAATGATAATAATAATAAAACATATTTTTATGTTTTTTTTTTTTTTTTTTTTTTTTTTATAACAATCAATTAGATAAGAATTGATAAAATAAATCCGTCGTCCCCCCCCTCCCCGTAGTTGTTGTTGTTATTAAAAAAAGGTTGAAAAAAATTTTATTTTCTAACAACAACAAACAAACAAA